GGGAGGCAGAGAATAGATGGGGACAGGGCCAGTCAGAAGTGGTATTTACTGGTTCTTCAAACTACTCAAAATTTATGAAGGTTCTTCAGAACTGGTCAGAACCTGCTGAATACCACTCTGGATCAAGCCTGCACTTATCCATGGAAACTCCCTGGGTGGCTATTTCTTAGCTCAATGTATTTCATAGGGTTATTGTGGGAATTAAATTAAGGGATAGGCTGCCTTATAGTTTTGGAGAAAAGCCAGCACATACACTGTACACCCAGACAGAAAGATGTCATTGAAGCATTACTCTCAAAAAATACAAACCCAACACTACTGAACAATTAAATTTCAGAAAAACTGTAAAGTTTATGTAAAGATCTGCAACCTCTGCCAGCTAATAGCAGGAACCCAGCAGTGTTTATTTTATGGCAATTACAGTATTATGAATTCAAAGCAAGTCCATAGCCCTTTAAAGCTTGTTCCTGGCACTTTTATTAAAAACAAGAATTCAGTAACATAACAGGTCGCTACAATGATCTTCACACTTGGAAAATTTTTTGAGCTTGCGCTGGCACAGTAATTTCTGTTGATGTTCGCTTTCTTCTGCAGTAAATAAAAGTTTTAGAATGCTTAATTTAGTGTGGATTATTGCAATCACTGTTAGTGATGAATACTGAAAACATCATAGCTGCTGGAAAGGCTATTAGACTGGCAATCTCTCAACTCAGGGGAAAAGGTAGCATGATACTTGGAATAGTTTATAGACTTGTAACTTAAGCACCCATTTATTCTTTTAAATGTGTTCACTGCTTTTTCTTTTCCAAGAATCTTTAAAAATGGAGGTTTATAGGCAAATAAATGAATAGTAACATTAGTAACAGTCTAATATAAAATGCAGCTCTCCTAATTTGAAACATACAATGCAAATTACTTGAACATACTGGAGATCAAAGAAACAATACCTTAGAACTAGAACTGTTCCATCTAAGGATGCAAATTTGGCCATCTATAGATAAACTTTGATCCCCCTCCCTGCTGAATGATCAGTATCTTTCTCAACTGCTCTTTTATATGAAGAATTGTTGCTCATTTATGTTTCAAATTGTGATTGTGTATGTTTTATATTTCCATGAATGTCTCAATGCTTCAGTCAGCCTAAGTCTCAGGGGGCTATAATACTTTTAAGAGACAAACCTAGCATTCCTTCTCTTCCTTTATTTGCAATCCAAGATGGAGAACAATTCCTCTCCTGACTGACTCCTGTTGCCTAAACCCAGTGATGGGATTCAGCCAGTTTGCACCTATTCAGGAGAACCAGTTGTTAACTTTTTAAGCGGTTTAGAGAACCGGTTGTTGGAAGAAATCTCCTTTTGTTTCTTCCCACTTTACAGGGCTAATCCTGTAAGGAAGGCAGGAATGAAACATTCTGGTATTCTTTGTAGCTTAATCTTTATTGTCCTGCTTACAGATACTACCTCTCTGGTTAACCCTTATTACATTGTAACAGCTAAGGTGAAGCGCCCAGCGATGTGAGTGATGATGAGTTGGCTACTCCCACCCAGTCATATGACCACCAAGCCCCACCTATCCAGCTGATCATTAGGGCAGAGAACCAGTTGTTAAATTCTTTGAATCCCACCACTGCCTAAACCTCAATAATGTTCTCTATCTAGCCTTTTCCCGCATCCCACTGATATGCACTGGTGGCTGGCCACTGAGGGACAGAGTTCTCTTTTCCCAAAGTTTGACCTGCATTTCAACAGGGAGCAACAACCTGTCCCATTGTTGTTTTATCCATTTTGGCACACCATATTGTCAAGACTCTGAAGCCACTTCAACCTGGAAAACATTTTCAAGATGAATAGAAGGGTATTTATGCACCCTTGGTACTGGAGGAAGTGGGAAAGGGGAACTTTTATTTTTAAATAATAATCCAAGAAATAGAAAACTGTCTAGAAAGGTTTTCAGCCCAAAGCATCATCTATATTTGTAACAATTGTTATGGACTGTATGATGAATTCTGAAAAACAGGAAGGATGGCACAAGGTCTCCAGATTCTTTCAGAAAAAAACAGGGAAGATGAAGTAGAGGACAGCTTTCTTGGGAGTCTGGACGAAACAGTGAGAAGCAATCTCACCAGTTTGCCTCCAATAGATAGCTATTTTATGATCTGATGCTACATAACTATTTTGTGATTGGACACATACAGATAGGAAACCATCTTGTCAAAGTACCCAGAATGTCAAAGATGTGTAAAAGATGCATACACAATTCTGCAGGTCATTCCAAAGAAAACGATAATGAACCTACCACCAATGCTCAAGCTTCAAAGAGCAAGACACGAATGATAGGAATACAGTATGGAGAAAACCTTTCATGAACAGAAATACAGCTCCCAAATCTTACCTAGCTAATTCTGCTGGTCTTTTTGCAAAGAGGAACAAGAAACAAGAAACTTTGATACATTATATAGAGATTAAATAATGTCCCTCTTCAACTCCTGTGCCAATCTCTATTTTGGCAGGCTCTGCACTCCCTTTCTCAAAAATGGAGAGAGCAGTGCAGCTCTTCCCCAGGGTATCAAAAGGGCCATGCATCTGTCCACTGCATCAAAGTGTTCTCAGTGGGATCAAAGCTGCTCTGAATGGATTTGCAGTGCAACAACGGCGAAAATAATCACATCAGGGATCTTGGAGAAATATTTCCTTACATTTTAAAAAAAGCAGCCAACTTATCCTGAACTCACTATGATGCCCTCTTTCTTTTCCAACCAAAGACTGTCCCCTTGAAGCAGAATATTTGACCACAGGAGGCAGATTTTACTTATTTTATTGGCAATTACACCGTCTTATTTTTAATCATACGTTTTTCAGAAAAGCACTGACTAAAAAAGAGAGAGGTGTTCCCCATTGTCTGGCCAGATGCTACAGTCAACCCACTATTGTAAGCAGAAAAGCAATAACCTGCCCCAGAGTCTAGGTTTTGGTTTATGGGAGCTGAAATTGTAGGCAGCTGGAGGGCCCAAATCTGTGGAAAGCTGGGTCTGCCTGTAGTTTAAAAAAGTTTGAGTAACGGTGCTGCTGCTCACTACAGGAGTATGCTTTTAGCAAGGAGGATACAGACAGGGTTAAAGCCAACTTTTTTTTCTTGAACAGATGATATTTCAGATGGTGACACTATTCCAGATGCATCAATTTCTTTGAAAATCGAATCCATATATGTGCATATGCTGTGCTGGCAGGAGGACTGCCTAAAATGGCCCCAGCCCAAGAGCTAATATTCTTTTGGCCAGAATAATGCAATTATTATTTTCCTAGCTATCAGTCTAAGCATACAGAGCCATCTGTTATGCAAAGCAAACATACACATCTCAATTACAGAAAATGCAGTTGCCTTGACAGAATTTGGATTACACCACTAACCAGGGCTGTAAAATTTGTTTTCAGATAGTGTATAATGGATGCCTTTCAGGAGTTTCCTAATTAGTATTTACCTGTTTAAACTGATTAACCATCCTTCTTTTTGCCGCTTTATTAAACTTTTTTGGACACCGCATAAACCAGATTAATATGTAATATGATGAACCCAAGACAACAATAAACATTAATGTATTTTGTGTGTGTGTTTTTTTAAAAACCTCCATTAATAAATGGAATTTATAATATGTGATTTACCAGTCACAAATTATGAAACATTTGAAACTGATACCCAAACCAATTAAAGCAGGAATTACATCCTATTACCAAACTAAGATCAGGTGAGATATAAAAATATCATATTGAATTTTTTTCTTAATTCTCTTCCCATTTTCTCTCTCTCTCTCTCTCTCTCTCACACACACACACACACACACTTACTTAATGTAAACAAATATAACCAATGAACATTTCATAAATAATACTCTGCATTGGTATTTCATTATTTTAAATCCTGGGTATTTTTCTTTTACACAAGTTATTGTAATTATTGCTGTTATTAGGTTTTTATCTTGGCTTTCCTCCAGATATTCATACTTGCATAGCCAGCACTGCTTTCTTCACTTATTCATATAATTCTTAATTGATTACTTTAGTTAAACATTTTCAATTAATTTAGGACAATCAATTAAATCATGTTATGAAAAGTTGCAATCCAAGGACTATCTTAATAATCACAGCAATGCAAGCAAAACTTCCCATACAGCTTTCCATTCTAAGCAAAAAAGATGTAATGTTATCATAGTTGAGTTCTTCAAATGTAATTCAATTATAGGCCCAGTAACCTATTTTGTAATCATCATGGAAAAAAAGCCTCCAAGGCTTCCCAAATTTTTCATGATAAATTCGATTCCATGGTTACTGACAGCTCAGTTAACTGTAATAAATAAAAAATAATTCTTCCTCTTCATACAGTCTTAGACCTTAAAATGAAACGATACAAAAGAACAATTACATTTCACTGTCTCATAAAAAAAAACCTTCTCTACCCATTTACTATGCATGTGCAAAAAGAGCAGACTGTGTCCTTCTTGAAATCCTCCCTGTAAGTCTTTTTAATGGTTTCTTTCAGCTTTTTCTGACTCCAAGAGACTCCCTGCCATTGTGTCAGCTCCCAGGATAACGTCGAGTTCTCCATAAACATCCAGTAATAGGGCACAAGGGAAGTACTATGTCTGTGTCCCTTTTCTAACAGCTATGGAGTTTAAAGTTCAAAACAGCTGAGAAAAGAAACTTCATTTGTTCTCAATAAATTAGTAATGATTTTTTATGGGAGAAAGGGGTTTTTCAAGCTCCTACTTTTTCTTTTTCCACTAGAACATTCTTTATCAACTTACACCTTCTAGGAAGTGTAAAACCAAGCCATTAAATTATAAATTCAACCTGATGTGAAAAGTTCCAGAAGGTCTTACCATTTTAAAAATAGCGAACCTTAAAATGGAAGGTGTATCATTAAATGTTCTACTTACCTGGGAGAGGCCAAGATAAATGGAGACGGTTTCCGAAATGTACAAAAACTTTCCCTCTTGGTTTAGTGCAAATACAAATCCATCCAGTGACTGCAAAAGAAAAAAAAAGAGTTGAAAAAGTGAGACATTACATACAGTGAAATATATACAAACAGATGAAACGTAACTGTCATAAACAATGGATTTTCCTCACAGGCATTAACACATTAAAATGCATAAAACATTATTTGTGCTTAGAAAAGAAATGACAAGATGTTCCTTTCAGAAAAATAGAGAAGAGGGAAATGATTGTGAATAGTAGTAATTTGAAAATTAACAAGGAATTATGATCCTGTCTTTATTCACAAGCATGGCCAGACATTTATTGTTTTATTTAAACACAACCAAAACTAATCAACACATTTCTGTCAGATAGGTTCACATTTGGAAAACACAAAAGATACTGAAAATGTAATCTGTTCAGTATAAATGTGTAGATTTAAATTGTATTCTGACAGGTAGTTGGGCTTTAGATATAGTTGCAAGAATGATTTATGACAGAACATTGATGTTGGTATATAAACATTTATGAAAGCCATGTGAAACTTAATCAATTAATAAGCCATCTTATTCCAAACTGACACAATACTACTGTATATAAGACATTGTTTGTTGACTGGAATAAATATTCATCCTATGGTTGCAAATATACAAATTTAGACTGTGTCTTATGGGGAAGTGAATGCTTTAAGACGGCTATGCTGAATTTCAGCTGTGTACCACACAACTACATTTCTCCTCTTCTATCTATTGCCATTACAGGCTCTATGGCTACTTTTAAGCTCCTGATACCTGGAAAAGTGAGGGGGGGGACAACCAGTGGCGGGTTGCTGCCTGGTCAGAACAGTTTGGGTTAACCAGTATCAGATTCATGCCACAGTAGACATTGTGAGAATTATGGAGCCCTGGTAACTTCAGTTCTTGGGATTTGGCAATCAGGATTCTGAATGAACTGCCATTGTCAGCTCAAGTAAACCAGGCAAGAAACATGACAAAGTGAACTTATTCTACTTTATTAAGTCTACATTAACAGAGTCTTGCAAGTCTGAAAGTACAAACTTCCCATTGCCATTTTAAATTGTTTGATCCATTAGGGCAGGTTCTCCCTAAATTTATATGACAGTTAAGGCAACCCTGCCTCTTTTATCTGATTATTTCCTAGGCAGCATTCCCCCCACTTTCTCCAAGGTCATCCACACATTCCATTACGTTGTTAAACCAGTATAGTATAGTATAGCCTTTATTTACAAAATAAATACAATGAAATTGGTTGTATAGGGAAGTGTTCATAACTGAATCATACCAAAAGTGCTACTGGCTTAAAATTTTAAGATAACGGGAACAGATAGAGTGTCAAAATAAAATTTAAAATGACTCTTAGGTTACAATTGGGAATTAATGGTAGACTGTTAATATTTCTTTTTAATTAACCTTTCCACAACTCTTTCCACAACTCTTCCACATTCCAGTATACATACACGAACCACCTAAAAACACAAGCTAATTCATTTATTTAAACATAAAGGAATTCTTAAATTCAGTAGAGGGAATATGAAAAGAGCTTTAGTTGTTCATGGAGAATGAGTCAGTTATGAAAATACAAGCACTAAAGTTAACATACTTAAGAAGGATCTTCAATTTATATTTATGAATTAATAAAAATGTAAATCTGCATAGATTTCAGTCAAACACAAGAATTTATACAAGCAAGTAGTTTATCTAGAAATTATCATAATTTATTTTCAGATGATTAGCACAAAAACCTTGAACACTGACATCAATTACTTGGGAGCAATTTGAAGTGACAAACTTTAAAGTCATCCAAACAAGAACATATTCAGGCATTTTTATGTTTAAGAAGCAATACATCAACTATCTTTGGATAACATAGCATTTGTGTCACCAAGGCACTTTGGGGTTGAAAGAGTAGCTGGTGATATCAATGTTGCCCATGGGACACCTGGTGGGGGAGCTCCTTTTATTTTCCTGGCAGGAGCTGGAATGAAAGATGGGAGTTAAACCCTGCCCCGCAGCAGCACTGGGGACTCGAACATGGGCTTGCTGCTTGTCAACCCAGCATTCTAACCATATGAGTCGCCAGGTTCCACTTGATCTTTGGATCAAACATCTTAAAGAAAGAAAGAATCCAAAAGAAATGTGGCCTGTCAAGGACCTTAAGAATCTTTTGATCTTTTTTTCCATTTTAAATGGAAGCTGCCCAAGGTTGTTATGGAGTCGGACATCTTCTAAATCAAATAAATAAGTGGCAGGAGAAATCACTAGTTTTCAAAAGCCCAATGCAGAATGTCCCAAAGGTGCTTTATCAGGAGGCAATTGGACTTTCTTGTTTTTTTTCTTTTTTCTTTAAAGAAATTTTGCTTCTCATTTTGCTCAGAGCTGAAGAAGCTTCTTGGATGAGAAGCGAAATATGTTCAAAGAAAAAAAAAACAAGGAAGTCCAGTTGCCTTCTGAAAAAAGCACCTTGGGACAACAAAGACCTGCATGACTGAGAATCTCTACAGATGTAGAATAAATGTTGGGAAAATTATTTCCCAATGAATATACTGAAACAGCTCTAACTTTGAGCAACAATGATTATTCAAATGGATTTTTTGAAAAGTAGATTAATTAATTTTGATCCAATGAACATGAATTTGGGCAAACTCTAGATGACAGGAGAGGACAGGGGAGCCTAGTGTGATATGGTCCATCATGTCGCAAAGAGTTGGATGTGATTTAGTGACTGAACAATAACAAAAGCTTAATTTAGAAGCACTGCATCTATATCTTTATCAATGATATGATGTATTGATTGATGTCCTTCTGAAAGAAAATATATACATGTATATGCATAACTATCAACTGCCAATGTCCAATACTGATAACATTCCCTGAATCCTTGGATGTCTAACTAAATAGACCCTTCGCATTGCTATGTCAGTGAATTGTCTTAAATAGTGGCAAGGAATATACCAAACCAAATAAAGGCAGAGCCAGAACTAAAAGGCAGAACAAGAGAAAGTATTGGTGCCTCAAAAGGTTGCTGAGCTACATGAATACTTGCATGAGTAACTGTGTTTCAATGCTCTGCATGCTTCAGTTATAGCTTCCTCAGGGGCAAAAACATAGCCAGTTAGAGTAATTCAATAAGGCATTAAGCCCTGGGCATGGAAATGTCTGATGCAAGGTTTTCTTCATCACTCAGTAGAGAAACCAATTGGTATTTATGCGGCACCGAAACTCTGTCAATAAACAACAGACTAGATTTTTTAAAAAGCAATTTGTTGTATAATCATTTCACCTTTAACGGCAGCAGGAAGTGTGACTATCGCTATGGATTTGCATACTGTCCTGTTATTATGAACCAATCTCATCAAGATGTAAATTATAGTTTAGCCGTCTCCAACATTAAACAATACTTTTCCTTCAAATATGCAGAACTCTTCTCTCTTGAACTGATTTCTAAAAGTTGACAATGTAAAAAAGAAACATATTTTGTAGAAATGTGATCATCCCTGATTTTAAAAAGAGTAGGTAGAAATGCTGGTTGGTTTAATGACCCTTTTCTCCTACTGGCTATATACAAAACACAACTAAAATTCTCCAGCATTGCCTTGTTTTGATTTTGGGGGAGGAGGGACTTATTATGTATTATGCTATTTCAATCACCACAGGCCGCTTTTTTTCAAACTGCCCCACTGTTTTCAACAGGCACCAATTAAGATTCTGGGGTCAAAGAGTTAATTACATCTTCTTACCCACTATGTCGAATTTTCTGATTATTAAACAAGGTTGGATTAAGATGAAAAAGTACCGACAAAAATGTTAATACATGCCCCTCCTTGAGAAGATTTATCATAATACCATGCCGAAATCTACATTTTTCTCCCCCCCCCAAAGTAGTTTGAGACAAAATCTTAGAGGAAACACTAAAATAAACACTTTAAAGGCATCCAAGTATCTGATTAATAGTTTTCTTGGTCCTAAAAACAGCTCTAATCAAGGCAGAAAGTAACAGTGGGATTTTCTCCTTGTCAGATCTTAGTAAATTTATTTGGTCAATAGGAGGCAAATTATTTTCAGACCTAACAAGGAGCTGTGGCGTATTTAAATAATGTTGCTGATAAATTTTAATTCCTGTGAATGTGAATCAGAACAATATGTAGGGCAGATATATAAAACCCTATTGTGCTTTCATTTATTTCATTTTTTTTCAATGCCATTTTTGCCCTTTTATGTCACCTTCACTATTTTTGGAAATTACATAGCATGAAATCAACCCCCCAATTATATTGCTCACAACTCTACTTGATATTTCTTATCTATAGCATTAAAAACAAACTCTCTCAATCTAGAAAACTGCATAGTAATTTATCCTGTTCTAGAAATGCTGAAAAACAGAGTTCTCCTAAAATAACTGGACTTTACTCCTTTTCCCATTTCTTCCCTGCTCTTCCCACCAAATCATAATTTTTTGACTCCCATCTTGCCAGAATTAGATAGGATATAATTCATTATATTCCATGACTTTCTTTGATAGATTTATTTTGATTAAGAGTACTTCATTATCTGTGAATGTGCGTGTTTACATATGCATATGAGAAGCACATACAAGCAGGTGCAGAAGGTATATATATAATCAGGAGTACAGTAAGAAATTCTGCCTCTCTTGACTGTTTTATATTGAAAATCTGGTCTCTTTTAGAGAAAGAAACTGAAGAAATTCTGGATCTTGGCATCTGTGCATAATCTTTGTTATTTTACCCTTTAAGCAAATGATCAACACTATTCAAATAATTTTCAATTTGTAACCACAATTGAGCCCAAAATTTCAGTTACTATGTGAAACATTTGTTAAGTGAGTTTTGTCCCATTTTACAACTTTTCTTGGCACAGTTGTTAAGTGAATCACTGCAGTTGATAAATTAGTAACACGGTTGTTAAGTGAATCTGATTTTGCCATTGATTTTGCTTGTCAAAAGCTGATCACATTGACTCCTGGACACTACAACCGTTATATATATGAGTCAGTTGCCAAGCATCTGAAATTTTGATCATGCAATCATGGGGGTGCTGAATGGTTGTAAGTATGAAAAATGGTCATGTCACTTTTTTCAGTGACATTGTAACTTTGAACAGTCACTAAATAAACATTGTAAGTCGAGGACTACCTATACATACGAAAAGCATCAACTATTTTCATTC